GCATAGCACAAATTTTGAGTATGGCATTTACTTTCAGTACAAATTTAAGGTTAATAAATGGAGAATCAATATTTATAAGTTCTTTCTAGGTGTAAGGCATTTTAATACACTGTTAACTTTATAACATTATTACTTAGTATTAGAATGCCATTTAACAGGTGAAATTTAGGCTCTAAGATGAATTTAGGCTGGTAAGAGTCATGCTTGGGGTCTAAATAAAAGTTGATTCTGACTCCAAAATCCATGATCTTTCCACCCCATGATGGGTTCTGTTCAAAGTTCCAATAAATCATAGTGTAGATCTGTTCTACTTTAAAATTCTTAGACCAAGAGCTTCTACAAAATTGCCTTTTAGGGAAACAAAAAATCTTTTATTAAAACTATACTTTAGGGGCACCTGGGTGGTTCAGATGGTTAAGCGTCTGCCTTCGGCTCAGGTCATGATCCCAGGGTCCTGGGATCGAGTTCCGCATCGGGCTCCCTGCTCCTTGGGAGCCTGCTTCTCCCTCTGTTTCTCTCTCTCTCTCTCTCTCTCTCTGTCTATCATGAATAAATAAATAAAATCTTTAAAAAAAAAACAAACTATACTTTAATTCTAATAATTATATCTAACTTAAATTTCAGTCTTTTTTCAAGTAACTGCTTTCAGAGTATCTCCACTTAGATATCTCACAGGACACCAAATTCAACATATCCAAAACTTGATTTCTCTCTCAAAGGCTACTCTTTTACCATAACTCTTTTCTTCCCCATGGCACCACTTTTCCTTTTTTTCTTTCACTTCACAATTCGATCTATCGTCCTATCACCAATTTGTCCATTATTCTTACATACATATTTTCTCTACTAGTTTAAAATTCCTTGAAAAAAAGGACTCCCTGTCTTCTTTTCATGTCCATTATCTCTATCATTACCTTGGTCATAATAGATGTATGACACATGTTTGTTGCCATTAATGATAAAATATTACTTGAGTTCACTTTTCCCCCCACTTTACCACCTCCACTATCCTAATCTAAGGCTTCATGAACTGGTTACTCTAACAGCTCTTTAATTGGCCTCCTGGCCTCCTATTGGGGCCCCTTATAATTAGTCCTATAGACTAAATATGGCAGCCAAGAAAAAAAAATTACAAAATACTACTTGGTCACATCAGTTCTCTTTTCCAAATTCTACAGTGGGTTCTATTATTTTTTAAATTTATTTGAGACTTCCTGACATAAAAATATCCCCCCTCACCTAGCTCATCTTTGCCTAGCAACTAATGATCATGTAGCATTTTAAATATAGCTGGGGAGTTAATTCTATTTATAGGAGGAGATTGAGTAGATGTACATTTCCTTATTCCTCCGACTAAGTAGGACATATAAAACAAACAGAAGAGGACCCTGAAAGGTGGATACCTAGGGACCTCAGGACTCAAGGAACAACATGGTGGTGAGATCCCCTGATTTCTTTTTGCCTCATAAAGCCCAGACTTACAGCTAAATAAACCAGAAACCTGAGAACACCTACAGTCATGGGGGGGGGATCCCCAAGAAAAGCCTTGTTGAAAAGGTCAACCTACCAAGGCAGAAATTTCAGACAGTAACTGCATTATCCCGCCAAATACCACAGAAAAAAATTGTGGATTCACCCTTTTCCATGCCAAGAAAGGCTGAATGGAAAGCTTACACTTCCAAATTCATGAGGCTGTAATAAGATACCTTGGCACTCCTGCCAGAATGAGGTCAAAGTTGAAAGCCAGGCCACATACCACAATGATGCCAGTGGAGACCAAATGAAGAACAAAGCTCTCACCCACAAATAGCAGTAACAAAGAGACCAAACTTCAGATGTCAATAAAGCCCTAGTGATAAGCCTGGACTTCTATATCAACTAGGCAGTAAAAAGGTAGTAGAATGGTATCAAAGAAAATAAGATAAAACAGAAGGTTTAGTAATTTTGTAGATATTGACAAACTAATTCTAAAGTAAATGTGGAAGGCAAAACACCCAGAATTCCCCACATAATACTGAAGGAAAAAAATCAGATTAATACTACATGATTTCAAGACTTACTAGAAAGCTACAATAGACACAGTGTCGTATTGGTGAAAGAATAGACAAAGATCAATGGAATGGAAGAGAGAACCCAGAAATAGGCCCATGCAAATAGAATCAATTGATCTTTGACAAGTGAGCAAAGGTAATTCAATGAAGCAAAGACAGTCTTTTTCAACAAATGGTGCAGGAACAACTGGACATCCACATGACAAAAAGTGAGTTTAGACACAGACCTTATACCTTTCACAAAAATTAACTCAAAATGGATTACAGACCAAAATGTAAAATGCAAAACTATAAATTCCTAGGAAATAGAAAACCTAAATGACCTTGGGTTTCATCGTGAGTTTTTTTAGGCAAAGGCACAATCCATGAAAGAAATAATTGATAAGCTGGACTTTATTAAAATTAAAAACCCTGCTCTGCAAAAGACACAGTTAAAAGGATGAAAAGACAAACCACGCATTGTGAGAAATCTTTTGCAAAACCAGTATCTTATTAAAAAAAAAAACTACCTTCCAAAGTATACAAAGAACTCTTAAACTCAACAATAAAAAAAAAAACCCAATGAAGAAAATGGTCAAAAGATCTGAACATCTCACAAAAGAGAACCAGATGACAAAAAAGCATATAAAAAGATGGCCAATATCATAGGTCATTTGGAATTGCAAATTAAAACAAGATACTACTATATATCTACTAGAATGCCTAAATAAAAATATTGACATTACCAAATGTTTGTGAAGATTGGAGGAACAGAAATGCTCTTTCATTGTTGATGAGAATACAAAATGTCACAGCCTCTGTGGAAGGCAGTTTACAAAACTGAACATATTCTTACCGTGTGATCCAGCAATTGCACTCTTTGGTATCTACCTGAATGAGCTGAAAAATTATGTCCACACAACACTCTGTACACAAATGTCTATAGCAGCTTTATTCATAATTGCCAAAATTTGAAAGCAACCAAAACGTCCTTCAATAGATGAATGGGTAAACTATAGTACATCCAGATAATGAAATATTATTCAGAGACAAAGAGAAATGAGCTATCAAGTCACAAAAAGACATGGAGGAAACTTAAATGCATATTGCAAAGTGAAAGAAGCCAATCTTAAAAGGTTACATACTACATGATTCCAACTATACGACATTCTGGAAAAGGCAAAACTATGGAGACAGTAAAAAGCTCAGTCATTACCAGGGTTTCTAGGTTGGGAGGGAGAGATTGATAAGTTCAGCACATAGAATTGTTAGGGCAGTCAAAATATTCTTCATGGTACTATAATGGGGGATAGATGTCATTACATATCTGCCAACCACATAAATAAAAGGAGTGAATCCTAATGTAAACTAAGGACTTCATTAATAATAATATATTAATACTGGCTCACCATGCGTAGCAAGTACACCATGCTAATGCAAGGTATTAATAATAGGGAAAACTAGGTAGGGGAAAGAGGATTATCTGTGTACTTTATTTTTATGTAAATCTAAAACTGCCCTAAAAAATAAAGTCAATTAAAAAAATAAAATAGAAAGTTTAAATAAGATCCAAAATCTCATATCAGAATAGAAAAACATTAAAAATGATAAATGGGTTAATTCACCAAGAACACATAGCAATCCTAAATGTGTATGCGCCAAACCCAGAGCTGCAAAATGTGTGAAGCAAAAACTGATAGAACTGAAAAAATAATAAATCCACAATTATGGCTGGGGAGTTCAACACCCTTCTCTCAACAATTGATAGAACGAGACAGAAAATCAACAGGATATAGAACCCAATAATTCTGCCAAATACAAGGATTCATTCAACATTTATGGAATAGTCCACCCAAACAACAGAATATACATTCTCTTCAAGCACCCACAGAACATATATTAATATAGACCATATCCTGGACCAAAAAGCAAAATCTCAACAAATTTTACAAAACTTGAAATCATACACAGTGGAATCAAAGTAGAAACAATAACAGGAAGGTAGCAAGAAAATCTTTCAATGCTTAAAAATTAAACACTTCTAAAAATCCATAGGTAAAAGAGTAAGTCTTAAAGGAAATAAAAAATACATTAAACTGAATGAAAATAAAAATAACATATCATAATGTGTGTGCTACAGTTATTTAGAGGAAATTGATAGCATTAAAATGGACATAAAATGCCTTTTAAACAATGGTCCTAGAGCAACTGGGAATTGGACATTCATATGAAAAAATAACACTAAACAAAACTTACAGAAAAAAAAAAAACATTTAAAAACCTTCAAGAATTAGGGCTAGACAAAGAGTCCTTAAACTTGAAATCAAAGTATTATCCATAAAAGGAGATATTAACAAATTATACTTCAATAAAATAAGTGGTTTTTACTCTGTGAAAGACCATGTTAAGGATGAAAACACAAGCTACAGAGAAAAACATATTTGCATATCACAAACAACTAGTATCTAGAATTTATAAGAATTCTCAAAACTCAACAGGAAAAGAAAACAATAATCTAATTAGAAAATAGGTAAGAAGATGTGAAGAGACACTTCATCAGAGGATATACAGATGTCAAAAAATCACATGAAAAGATGTCCAAAATATTTTCATAAAATATCACTATATACCTATTAGAATGGCTAAAGGAAAAAATAGTAAGACCAAATGCTGGCAAGGATATGGAAGAAATGCATCACAAATACATTGTTACTGAAAATGTAAAATGGTAAGCCACCCTGAAAAACCATATGGCCATTTCTTTAAAAAAGTAAACCTGCAACTACCATATGACCCAGCAATTACACTCCTGAGGATTTATCCCAGAGAAATGAAGGCTTAAAATAAAGACATAAACCCTGTACATAAATGTTTATGGTGCTTCATTCATAATAGTCCCAAACTGGAAATGATCCAGATGTCCTTCAATGAGTGAATGCTTAACTAAACTATGTTACACTGATACCACATTGTATTTATAAATGCAACAACCTGGATAATTATGCCAAATAAAAAATCCATACATACTCTGATTTCATAACATTGATTAATGACAAATTATAAAAATAGAAAACAGATTAGTGGTTGTCAGGGGTTAAGGTGGGGTGGGGGTAGGGATAGAAGGGAAGTGGGTCTAGCTATAAATGGGCAACATAAAGACACCTGTGGTGATAAAAGTGTTCTCTGTCTTGACCGTATCAACTTCAGTATCATGGCTGTGATGTCCTACTACACCTTTGCAAGATGTTACCATTGGGGAAAACCAGGGAAAGAGTACAGGAGATCTCTGTATTATTTTTTCTTATTGCATTTAAATCTATAATTATTTCAAAATAAGAAGTTTAATTTAAAAATTTAACATAAGAGGGAACAGATGCTATTTCATTTAGGTCTTAAACGCAGGATTCAAACTAAGGAAGATGAATTACTTAGAGTCATCTATAAAGCCACCTGCTTTCTTCCTAAACCCCCTCTTTTAGAATTTATTAGGAGTATGCCAACACTCTTTCTGACCTTTGCTATCAAATTTACAAAATTACTGTTGATGCTAAAAGGGCCTCCATGGTATAGGAGTGAGGCAAAAATAACCCTTGTGTGGTCTGCACTCCTATTGTTTATGACTCTTTCTTGATTCTCTAGCTTCATGATATATTTACCTGAGGGACCCCGTGATCCACCTGTTTCTGTCACTCCCTAGGAATAAATGGTAATGTCACTTGGAGACTAGCAGTGAAGTATTTCATGGTATACTTGTCATCTATTTTGTTCAGCTCAATTGCATGCAGTTGCCGGTCTGTGCTTTGCCATGTCAATAGCTTTCAGACTACCCTTCTGTCTTACGTGGTTCTTCTCTATTTGATTTTTCATATGTTCAGCTTGGCAGAACTAAGTCACTCTGAATACAGTTTCAGTGCCGCGATCCCACTTCAAAACTTTAATGGAACATGTGACATAGTCAACCTGGAAAAATCAAACAACAACAGGAGAATTAAACCTTACGTTCCAAGTTGGGTTGTGTATGTAAGTGAAGTGGCTCCCTAAACTCTGGCTATGTCAAGGCGCTCAAACCCATTTTAAAAAGTAAAAATGCAAGTATTTGTAGAGTACTATATATGTGCCCATCCCTGTATGTTATGGTAAAGAACCCCAAAGAAAATCCTGACATTGAGAGATCAGCTTGATTGGGGCAGAGGTACATGGCATCAAGCAGTGGGGAATATAATTAGTATAAGTAGAAGAAATATAGAACATGATTTCTAACCTATCTTAGAAACATTTTAATTGGGGCGCCTGGGTGGCTCAGTCGTTAAGCGTCTGCCTTCGGCTCAGGTCATGATCCTGGGGTCCTGGGATCGAGTCCCACATCGGGCTCCCTGCTCGGCGGGAAGCCTGCTTCTCCCTCTCCCACTCCCCCTGCTTGTGTTCCTGCTCTCGCTGTCTCTCTCTCTGTCAAATAAATAAATAAAATCTTTAAAAAAAAAAATTTTTTTTTAAAGAAACATTTTAATTAGTACCTAGCTTTTTCAAAGATAAATGATAAATATTATATTTACATAATTCTACAAATTTTCATGGAATCTTTACTGTATGAGTTTAATGCTTCTCTAAGCACGGTGGATAATATGGGAGATTCCAACAACAGGGACCCCAACTTTGAGTAGCTTTGCAATTTAGTTGTTAAAAAAATGCATTTTGTCACAGGAAAATTTACAAGTAATAGATAAAAATATAATAAAGAATTAAAGTGTACTTCACTAAGAAAAACACTCTTGACAGGCCAGCAATCAAAAAGGACCACAATAGAATGGAGACACGTCTATGGAAGTTGTGTGATTGGAGATAAGACTATAAATATGAGATTTGGAGGAGTAGAGAGAAATAAACAACATAAAGCAAGGTTAACAGCAGAGCTATTGGAATGAGTGTGACAAAACTGGCAGACAGTGACATGAATGTCTTTTTGAAAGAGTACTTTTCCATCCAGATTTCCACAGCTTTGATTCCTTTCCTTAGGCACCTTCCCATAAACAGGACTTTGAGCTTAGAACGCTCCTCTCTTCTTAAGTCTTCACCTGTTTCCCCCACTCACAGCCTTTCTCTGTAACTCCAGTCCCTGGTTAGGTTTCGCGTGTGCACTCATTGATATCCTCAGTCTTGGCCGCCTGCCTAACTTCCTAAATCTCCACCTCCCTTCCTGCTGAAAGGAATCTCTTCTCTGGACAGTCTGTCAACTGACACTCAAATCACCTGCCTGACTGGATTACCTGCATCTAGGATTTTCCTCAAGTGTGTTCCCCACCTCAGCTATTCCTAGGTAGCATCTTCTGGTATGTGCCTTCCAAGTTCTTCATGTTCTGTGAATCCATGACACTAATGAATAAATTTAAGACCACTGAAACAAATAGATTTGCTCTGTTAAAATGTCAAAATGACTGCTTTATTCACTATTTTGTTTCTTTGAAATGGCCATCTATTCTTCTAAAGAATGTACCCAGGAGCCTTATACGGCACATTAAATGCAATCTCACTACAGATATTGAAATTTGGAATTTAATTAAGGATTGCACAATTGGTCTTAAAAGGGAGGGACTGTAAGTCATGTTAATGGAATAACAAGTAACAAAGGTGTTCAATACAAAAAGATAATGACATACATAATGCAAGATAAGCTATATAGAATATTTGTAATCACTGAAAACACTGTAACAGGACAAATACTAAGAAATTAATGCAAACAATGATCCTGGCAATGTTGGTATAAAAAAAATTTGGTTACTTATTATATAGGAAAAATTAAACTGGGAAAGAGGCTGCATAAACTTTTAATATTTAAGGACGCCTGGGTGGCTCAGTTGGTTGAGCGACTGCCTTTGGCTCAGGTCGTGATCCTGGAGTCCCAGGATCGAGTCCCGCATTGGGCTCCCTGCTCGGCAGGGAGCCTGCTTCTCCCTCTGACCCTCCCCCCTCTCATGCTCTATCTCATTCTCTCTCTCAAATAAATAAATAAAATCTTCAAAAAAAAAAAAAGAAACTTTTAATATTTAAGTATGAATAAAGATAATATCACTATATAGGTCTTAGCAAGAAACACTGAAAAAACTACCATTTTTGAGAATTAAGAATTTAATTCTAATCACTAAAGGACATAACAAATGATTTCCATTTTGATTAAAACCTATGGAAAATTTGGGGTCTAGGGTGCCTGGGTGGCTCAGTTGGTTAAGCGACTGCCTTCAGCTCAAGTCATGATCCTGGAGTCCCTGGATGGAGTCCCTCATCGGGTTCCCTGCTTGGCAGGGAGTCTGCTTCGCCCTCTGACCCTCCCCCCTCTCATGTGGTTTCTCTCTCTCTCAAAATAAATAAATAAAATTTAAAAAAAAAAATTGGGGGTCTATGGCAGACTAAGGTCACGTAGTATAAAATTCCAAATCTAAAATTGTTAGCATAGTTATCCACCACACTGCTGCCTTTTGTCCTAACTCATTTCCTGTTCCACACACCTTTAGCTTTTTGAAAATGGTGTGGTATTTCAGGTTTAGCACTCTGGGAGTTAGTAGGGGGATCATGTCAGATCATGATTTATGTCCTCCCAAATCACCTTAGATCACCATTTTAGTGTTGTGGTAACAATGTGAGTGAAAGCTAAACTAACCTAAACAAATTCTGCTGGACATCTTCCATTTGCCCCTGAGGATATACTCTCCACCCTTCCCACATTACTCTGGGCCCTGAATGTCTGCATTCCAGACTCCTATATATTCTGGCTTCTGGTTAGCAGAAATTAGAAGGAAGGAGCAAAGTATGTTTGGAGTTTATTTCCTGAGCCTCCATCCTGGGAAGTCCTCTTAAGTTGGTGGTCCCAGCGGCTCCCGTGAGGTAGCCCCTTCCTAGGGTTTCTCTCCATGAATTGTTAATCACCCTCCCTCCTCAACACTTCAGGCATGGGGTTGGCATCCTTTTCCCACTATCCCCTGGGTACCAAACTATTCCTGTGTTTTCCCTGTATCCTGTCCAAATGTTTGTATCAGCCCTTCATTACATTCATCTCAACTCTCTCCAATTTGATTGTGCTATTATTTCCTGCTGAGATCTGATACCCAAACAAAAATCAAACATTATTTTCTATCATCAGTTCAGGGAATTTGTGTGAAATTAATAAGAAAAGATTTTCAAATCTTGCCAAGCTTCTAATATGCTGTTTGCTACAGATTTCTTGAACTAGCAGCAATGGGAAACTTGTAGAGATAGAAATGTGGGATGTGGACGTAGACAGATTTTAGAAATATTCCTTGCTGGAGGTGATGACAGCTGTGGAAACACTAAGGCTGACCTTCATTATGGACAGTTCTTTGCTAATTAAATTTCAGAAATTGTATCAAGTATGAATCACTTTGTGTATGTGCTCAGCATATTTGGTATAGCTGGTGAGGGACAAATAAGGGATGTCAGGAAAGCCCACCATTGGATAAAGGCTTTGAGAAAAGTCAAGCCCCTTTGACCCATTCTTGATGTTATTACACCCTATTTAACATTGCTTTTTCAGAATTAGTTTCTCTATAAGACTGGCTGGACGGAATCTACCTTTCCAGTGGTGTGTTTTCCCACTCCACATGACCCAATTCTAAGTTTCAGACATACCGGCTCACATTGGTCGTTCTCTGGAAGTGCCTGCTTTTGAGTTCACCTCCACATTGTCTATCCCCATGCAAATACACTTAATGACATACCCTCTCCTCTTTCCCTGCCTACTAAATCCTAGTCAGTGTCCAACATCCAGAACAAATGAGAGCTCCTCTAGGAGGTCTACCCAGATTCCTCCAGAAAGGGCTATTTCTTCCTCTACATTTTCAAACTGTTAGCTGTACCTCCACATTAGCATCTCTTTATATATTGAAACTAGAACTCTTACTCTATTGTGAGTTTCTGGATGGCAGAGACCTTTCTCCTGCCCTAGGGCCTCGCTTAGTGCATAATAGCATACAATAGCATTTAATGGATGAATGAATTTATTAGCTATCCAGAAAGCAAACTCCTATATAGCATCTAGATTCTGTTCTTATAAAGTCCCCAGATGTGTATTCCCTAATGTCAATGGGAGATAATTTTCTGATCAAATGTAATTAAACCTATCTATTAAATTAACATTTATTGAACACTTGCTACTTCAAGTAAGCTGGGATATTTTATTTCTTGCCCATATAACACAAACTTTACTTGTGTCTGTTAAAACATATATCATTAAGTATTTTCCATTTAAACCCATTGAGACAGAATTCATGAAACAAGGAAAAAAAAAAAAAAACACGCCCACCTACCAAATCCCGCCTGTAACTGTAAAATGTTACATGGTTGAAAAAAGTTACTTGGGAAATCTATCTGAACCTTTCTTATACACTATCTATTTTAACAGTGAACTGCTTTTTGAAATCTTTATAAAGAGTGGGAAGTAGTATAATGAATAACTACACAGGAAATCAGCAGATGGCATTCCTCAGAGCTATAATACAACTGGACATGAGGACTAAAGATACTATTGTAAAACTGGCCCACAATTTTAACAATGAATGCTGTAAATTTCATAGGTCTGAAGGCTGACCAAACCAGCAGTATTCCTCTTACTGTAAGTATGTAAATATAACAACTTCTTTTATTGGGCTCTTCAATCCTGCTATCTCACTATTTGCAGTTGCTAAGCAACCTTAGTACTAATACTGTGGCATGCTACTTAAAGACAGAGGCACCAAAAGGTGTTTGTTAATTTATTTATTTGAATGGAAATAATCTAGGGCAAAAATAAAATCTTTTCAGTGTGACACCTGGCACTGACTAGGTAACAACTTGCAAATTCACCACAATCAATCCCCCCCACCCCAAAAAGGTGAACAGATGTCTAGATACTTCTTTACCCCAAATGAGTATTTGGTTAATACTGTTTGGTGGGGACTGCTTATGAATATCTG